ATTGTGTCAATATATTTATAGACCTTACACCGTGTATGTATAATATATATATATATATATATATATATATATATATATATATATATATATATATACACCGTATGTATAAAGTCCCACACAGATGCCAGAAGAAGAAGAATCATTTTAATGCCATCATTGAGGTTTATCTCCAAAGCGCTGAGCTGAGGTTTTTTTTAATTTGTTACACATATACAATGTTGAGTATTTTTGTTTTTTTGGTTTTGATGCTGAATGCATTTGACATTTATTAAAATGCCACAGTTCTCAACTTCCCTCACTTTTAAACGGAGGATTATTAGTGAATCTCTACTTCTCTATGAGTTATAATGACCAGAGAGGGTGCTATATGGTCTGTCTACAGAGATCAGAGTCTTGTATGGATCACATGATCACAATGAGGATGGAGGAGGACCCAAGTCACATGACTGAGAGGATATTAGACCTCACCCTGGAGATCATCTACCTGCTGACCGGAGAGGTGAGGAGGATTCTGGGAGGTCACATGACATCACTCTTATCTCTATTAATAAAACACAGACCTGACTGGAGAGGTGAGGATTCTGGGAGGTCACATGATATCACTCTTATCTCTATTAATAAAACACAGACCTGACCGGAGAGGTGAGGAGGATTCTGGGAGGTCACATGATGTCACTCTTATCTCTATTAATAAAATACAGACCTGACCGGAGAGGTGAGGAGGATTCTGGGAGGTCACATGACATCACTCTCATCTCTATTGATAAAACACAGACCTGACCGGAGAGGTGAGGAGGATTCTGGGAGGTCACATGACTTCACTCTTCTCTCTATTAATAAAAGACAGACCTGACTGGAGAGATAAGGAGGATTCTGGGAGGTCACATAAAATTGTTTTTTCTTTTTAACAAAGCAGACTTTTCCTCCAGTGAAGTCTGGTAACCATTTTACCATCACGATGCCTTCACCTCACTCCCTGAAACCCAACAGATGCAATGAGAGGAAGATTCTGAAGGTCACCCAGAAGATCATTGATCTGCTGACAGGAGAGGTGAGCGGTGCCAAGAATTCTGGGACATTCTCCAGTAACAGACAAGGGATGTGTCTGGATGGTGACTGTATCATTGTGTGTGTCAGGTTCCTATAAGGTGTCAGGATGTCACTGTCTATTTCTCCATGGAGGAGTGGGAGTATTTAGAAGGACACAAGGACCTCTACAAGGACGTCATGATGGACAATCAACCACCCTCACATCACCGGGTAAGAGGAGACTTTATTGTAAAGGAGAGAGCAGTACGGAGGGTCCACCTAGATCCCCCATCATCTGATAAACACATAGAAACAATGGATTCAGTCAGTGTGTGTGTTTCCTACAGATGGATCCAGTAATGGGAACCCACCAGAGAGATGTCCCCGTCCTCTGTATTCCCGGGATTCCACACAGGAAGATCACACCATCCCTCACCATCATCAGGTAGATGGATCCAGTAATGGGAACCCACCAGAGAGATGTCCCTGTCCTCTGTATTCCCGGGATTCCACACAGGAAGATCACACCATCCCTCACCATCATCAGGTAGGTGGGAATGAGCAACTGGAACACTGAATAAACTCTATGAGATGACATTCTTCTATATAATCTCTTGGTTTTTTTGTAATAAATGTATCCTATCAACTTTGGGGTTTAGGGTGAAGAACTGAAAGACATCAAAGCTGAGATTAAAGAGGAGGAACAAGAGACTTTGGTGAGTGGAGATCAGCAGTCTATGGAGGAGGGGGAGATGATTACGAAAAGTGAACAGGAGGAATCTTCGCTACATATAGACACAAGTGAGTAATGAACTGCTATGAGTATAAAGTATTCTGTACACCATATGAAAGGTCCATCTCAATATAACGTCATGTTCCCAACAAATGAGGAGGAGATACTGGAAACCATACGAAAGGTCCATCTCCATTCCTCAATATAACGTCATGTTTCCCAACCAATGAGGAGGAGATACTGGACACCATATGAAAGGTCCATCTCCATTCCTCAATATAACGTCATGTTCCCAACCAATGAGGAGGAGATACTGGACACCATATGAAAGGTCCATCTCCATTCTTCAATATAACGTCATGTTCCCAACAAATGAGGAGGAGATACTGGACACCATATGAAATGTCCATCTCCATTCCTCATTGTAACGTTATGGTCCCACAATACCATTGTACAGAGCAGGTGAGTATAACATGTTTACTGTTTTTATTTTTTTTTTAATTACCTTTAGTAACACTTTAAAGAATCTGCAGATCATATATGGACGCGGTATTGACACTTTTCTGATCGATTTTGGAGGGAGAACAGGAGCCCAGCTGTGAGATCGACATTTCCACTGACTGGGGGGAGGAGCTAAATCTCCAGTTATTTGTGAATTGTGACATTTCTTCCATTTCTCTCCATCAGATGGCGCTGATGTCAGGAATTCCTCGGAGAGACGTCTTCTATTATCTGCTGATTGGAAGTCAGAAGATAATTCCATCACACAGGATTCTCCAGGAGTGAATCCAAATACACCCAATATCCATCACAGACCTTCCTGTCCGGAGACATCAATGGATCCCTCTGATCAGGGGGAATCTTCTGACCAATCACATACTAGGAGTGCAAATGTCCATTTAGGATCCCACACTGCAGATAGATCAACAGATCCATCTAATCCCAAGGAATCTTCTTTACCACAGGAAGGAGTTCACAAACACAAGAAAATATTCTCATGTTCAGAATGCGGGAAATGTTTCACTGTAAAAAAAAATTTTCTCAAACACCAGAAAGTTCACACGGATGAGTATCCATTTTCATGTTTAGAGTGCGGTAAATGTTTTAAACAGAAGTTCAATCTTTTTACACACCAGAAAATTCACACACGGGTGAGCGTCCTTTTTCATGTACAGAATGCGGAAAAACTTTCTCCAAGAAAGGGAACCTAGACGAACACCAGAGAATTCACACAGGCGAGCATCCGTATTCATGTTCAGAGTGCACAAAATCTTTCACTCATAAAGGAAACCTTCTCAGACACCAGAAAATTCACACAGGTGAACGTCCTTATCCATGTTCAGAGTGTGGGAAATGTTTCACTCAGAAAGGGGACCTTGTTAAACACCAGAGAATTCACAGTGGTGAACGTCCTTATTCGTGTTTCCGAGTGCGGAAAATCTTTCAACGAGAAAAAAGCACTTCTTAGACATCAGAGACTTCACGTGGATAGGGTTCCTCATTCATGTTCAGAGGGCAGAAAATCTTTCTCTAAGAAAGGAAAGCTTGTTAAACTCCGAAAAAGTCACAAGGGTGAGCATTCTTATTCATGTAGAGAGTACGGGAAATCTTTCTCTAAGAAAGGGAACCCAGATGAACACCAGAGAAGTCACACACGTGAGTGTCCTTTTCTGTGTTCAGAGTGCGGGAAATATTTCACTAAGAAAAAAGTTCTTGTTAAACACCAGAAAATTCACACCAATGAGCATAGTTATTCATGTTCAGAGAGGCCGGGAAATGTTTCACTGAGGAAAAGGAGCTTTTTAGACCCCAGAGTATTCACACGGGTGGGGGTCCCTATTTTTGTTCAGAGGTCACTGAATGTTTCTCTGAAAAAAGTCACACGGGTGAGCATCTTAATTCATGTAAAGAGTGTGGGAAATTTTTCTCTACAAAAGGGAACCTAGATGAACACCAGAGGAGTTACATGGGTGAGCGTCAGTATTCATGTACAAAGTGTGGGAAGATTTTCTCTAAGAAAGGGAACTTAGATGAACACCAGAGGAGTCACACGGGTGAGCGCCCTTACTCGTGTTCAGAGTGCGGGAAATCTTTTGGTCATAAAGGAAACCTTGTTAGACACCGGAGAATTCACACAGGCGAGCGTCCCTATTCATGCTCAGAGTGTGGGAAGTTTTTCACTCAGAAAGGAGATCTTGTTAAACACCAGAGAAGACACACGGGTGAACGCCCTTATGTGTGTTCAGAGTGCGGGAAATCTTTTGCTCATAAAACAGTTCTTATTAACCACCAGAGAATTCACACAGGTGAGCGTCGCTATTCGTGTTTAGAGTGCGGGAAAGGTTTCATTCAGGAAGGAAACCTAGTTGAACACCAGAAAGTTCACACAGGTGAGCGCCCTTTTTCATGTTCAGAGTGCGGGAAATCTTTTACTCGGAAAAAAAACCTGGTTGCACACCAGAAAAGACACATTGCCGAGCGCGCTCACTGTGTTCAGACTGCAGGAAGTGTTTTACAACTAAAGGAAGTCTAATTAGACATCTGGGGGAATGCACCAGCTGAGTCCCTGACGACTCGGACAAAATTTTACTGACTGTGTATTGCCAGCCTTACATCAGTGCTAAAATAAAGGACCGATCTTATATTGGCTTCCTTCAGTCAGCGGTCATCAGGAATGACGATGTCCCTACACTGGTGGTCAGTAAGATGAAAGCATAGACCACCAACAGAATACGGCTGCAGGAGACAGATTGGAGAAACAGGTAAGAGAGGAGAATGTAGTGTGGATGGTGGGGGGAGGAGAGCTGTCAGAAAAAGTAGTGTGGATGGTGGAGGAGAGCTGTCAGAGAATGTAGTGTGGATGGTGGGAGGAGAGCTGTCAGAGAATGTAGTGTAGATGGTGGGGGGGGGGAGGAGAGCTGTCAGAGAATGTAGTGTGGATGGTGGAGGAGAGCTGTCAGAGAATATAGTGTGGATGGTGGGAGAAGGAGGAGGAGAGCTGTCAGAGAATGTAGTGTGGATGGTGGAAGAGAGCTGTCAGAGAATGTATAGTGGATGGTGGGGGAGAGCTGTCAGAGAATGTAGTGTGGATGGTGGGTGAGAGCTGTCAGAGAATGTAGTGTGGATGGTGGGGGAGGAGAGCTGTCAGAGAATGTAGTGTGGATGGTGGAGGAGAACTGTCAGATAATGTATTGTGGATGGTGGAAGGAGAGCTGTCGGAGAATGTAGTGTGGATGGCGGGGGGAGAGCTGTCAGAGAATGTAGTGTGGATGGTGGGAGGAGAGCTGTCAGAGAATGTAGTGTGGATGGTGGGGGAGAGCTGTCAGAGTATGTAGTGTGGATGGTGGGGGAGAGCTGTCAGAGTATGTAGTGTGGATGGTGGGGGAGGAGAGCTGTCAGAGAATGTAGTGTAGATGGAGGAGAGCTGTCGGAGAATGTAGTGTGGATGGTGAGGGGAGGAAAACTGCCTGAGAATGTAGTGTGGATGGTGAGAGGAGAGCTGTCGGAGAATGTAGTGTGGATGGTGAGAGGAGAGCTGTCGGAGAATGTAATGTGGATGGTGGGGGGAGGAGAGCTGTCGGAGAATGTAGTGTGGATGGTGGGAGGAGAGCTGTCGGAGAATGTAGTGTGGATGGTGAGAGGAGATCTGTCGGAGAATGTAGTGTGGATGGTGGGGGAGAGCTGTCGGAGAATGTAGTGTGTGGATGGTGGAGGAGAGCTGTCGGAGAATGTAGTGTGTATGGTGGAGGAGAGCCGTCGGAGAATTTAGTGTGGATGGTGGGGAGAGCTGTCGGAGAATTTAGTGTGGATGGTGGGGGAGAGCTGTCGGAGAATGTAGTGTGGATGGGAGAGGAGAGCTGTCGGAGAATGTAGCGTGGATGGGGATTAGAGCTGTCGGAGAATTAGTGTGGATGGTGGAGGAGAGCTGTCGGAGAATTTAGTGTGGATGGTGGAGGAGAGCTGTCGGAGAATGTAGTGTGGATGGTGGAGGAGAGCTGTCGGAGAATGTAGTGTGGATGGTGGAGGAGAGCTGTCGGAGAATGTAGTGTGGATGGTGGAGGAGAGCTGTCGGAGAATGTAGTGTGGATGGTGGGGGAGGAGAGCTGTCGGAGAATGTAGTGTGGATGGTGGGGGGAGAGCTGTCAGAGAATGTAGTGTGGATGGTGGGAGGAGAGCTGTCAGAGAATGTAGTGTGGATGGTGGGAGGAGACGGAGGAGAGCTGTCAGAGAATGTAGTGTGTGGATGGTGGAGGAGAGCTGTCAGAGAATGTAGTGTGGATGGTGGGGAAGAGCTGTCAGAGAATGTAGTGTGGATGGTGGGGAAGAGCTGTCAGAGAATGTAGTGTAGATGGAGGAGAGCTGTCGGAGAATGTAGTGTGCATGGGGGAGGAGAGCTGTCGGAGAATGTAGTGTGGATGGGGAGGAGAGCTGTCGGAGAATGTAGTGTGGATGATGGGAGGAGAGCTGTCGGAGAATGTAGTGTGGATGGTGGGAAGAGAGCTGTCAGAGAATGTAGTGTGGATGGTGGGAGGAGAGCTGTCAGAGAATTTAGTCTGGATGATTGGAGGTGAGCTGTCAGAGAATGTAGTGTGGATGGTGGGAGGAGAGCTGTCAGAGCATTTAGTGTGGACAGTGGAGGGTGTGACGGTATTGAGTTCCGATCGACCACAAAACAAGAGCTGTCAGAGAATGTAGTGTGGATGGTGGTGAGGAGGCGGCGGGAGAGCTGTCAGAGAATGTAGTGTGTGGATGGTGGAGGAGAGCTGTCAGAGAATGTAGTGTGGATGGTGGGGAAGAGCTGTCAGAGAATGTAGTGTGGATGGTGGGGAAGAGCTGTCAGAGAATGTAGTGTGGATGGTGGGGGAGGAGAGCTGTCAGAGAATGTAGTGTAGATGGAGGAGAGCTGTCGGAGAATGTAGTGTGGATGATGGGAGGAGAACTGTCGGAGAATGTAGTGTGGATGGTGGGAGGAGAGCTGTCAGAGAAAGTAGTGTGGATGGTGGGAGGAGAGCTGTCAGAGAATTTAGTCTGGATGATTGGAGGTGAGCTGTCAGAGAATGTAGTGTGGATGGTGGGAGGAGGAGAGCTGTCAGAGAATGTAGTGTGGATGGTGGGGGGAGGAGAGCTGTCAGAGAATGTAGTATGGATGGTGGGGGGAGATCAGCCAGACCATTTAGTGTGGACAGTGGAGGGTGTGACGGTATTGAGTTCCGATCGACCACACAAAACTCAATAAGGAACACAGTGGAACCCTTTTTTTACTAAAATTTGCTAGTTTGCAACACAAATTAGATGACTCTTTTTTTTCTGTAGGGTCAGCAGAGAATAACCTCACTGCATACACCTGTACCAGCACACATCTTAATCTGCAGGCCATGGATGCCATTAGGCTCCTTTAGTAGAAGACCAACAGCTTGAGGGCCACCAGTTTGACACCCCTGGTCTATATGGTACAGAAGGCTAATTAGCCACATCACATCCCCTAAGGCACGGGTGTCAAACTGGTGGCCCTCCAGCTGTTGCCAAACTACAAGTCCCATGAGGCACTGCAAGATTGGCAGTTACAAGCATGACTCCCAAAGGCAGAGGCATGATGGGACTTGTAGTTTCGCAACATCTGGAGGGCCGCCAGTTTGACACCTGCTCTAAGGAGAATACACATCAGAACTATACCAAGGTTAGAACAATACCAAGGACGTCTGCCCACATTTTGAAAAATGACATTGTCAGAGGGTCTGCTGGGAAATGATAAAAAAACCTCCGCACTCCTACTTCTCACCCCTTAAAACTTGTGATTGGGGATGGGGGGAGGGGAGTCAAGGCTCAATGATGCAACTGCAAATCAAGAGCTCTCCTTTACCATCAAAACAAACAACGTCTGTCAAGTTTTATTTTTTGAGGGCCAATTACTCTGAAATCTCTGATGAATTTTAAGCTCACTGACTGAACTCTGCTGGAACCCCAAGGTACCCGGACTTTATTAAGTACTTTTGATCCATTTTTTTTTTTTTGTATTGCTGTTGTAACATTGTATTTAACTATTGCAATCTTTTTTTCTGCACCATTTTCCTTGTCTTGTATTAAACAATATTTTAAAATCATTAAGCTGATCTCAATGTACTAAGCTGGGACTTACGTCAGATCATGTTCCTGGGATATGCCCGCTTTCTCTGTCACGTACCTGTCTGCTGTTACGAGATCCTGGATTGCTGGGATGTTTTCCTCCGTACAGGTAGTTGCTGGCCTTCCACTGCGAGGGGCATCTTGGACAGAGGGGTTCCCCCTTCTTGAATTCCGCCACCCACTTTTTAACGGTGGAATAGGAAGGGGCATCCTCCCCTAATGTTTCCATCATGTCCTTGTGGATGTCCTGTCCACTCATTCTCTTTTTAAGGAGGTATCAGATAACGGCTCGCTTTCTCCATCTTGACCTTCTGCGCTTCAGTCTTCAATAACTGAAAGAAAGAAAAGGCTACTTGTGAGAAATTTTGTATGGAATATTGGTATGTACTATGAGGAGCAAAAATAAAATTGGGCGAAGACAAATGCTTCATGGGTAGGCCCGATTATGGCTTACAGCTATGAAAACCCCAAATCCACAATCTCAGGAAAATGGGAATATTGTGAAAAGGTGTAATATTCTCGGCTCAAAGTGTCCCACTCTAATTCGCTAACTAATTAAGCCATAACACCTGCAAAGGGTTCCTGAGATTTAAAATGGTCTCTCAGTCTGGTTCAGTAGGAATCACAATCATGGGAAAGATGCTGACCTGCACATCATGACACCCTTCATAAGAAGGGAGAAAGCATCAAAAGGTAATTGCAAAGAAGTTGGATGTTCCCCAAAGTGCTGTTCAAAGCACATTAATAGAAAGTTATGTGGAAGGGGAAAAGTGTGGAAGAAAAAGAGTGCACAAGCAGCGGGGAATGACAGCAAGCAGGGAGAGGATTGTCAGGAAAAGGCATTCACAAAAGTGTTGGGACTTTCAACAAGGAGTGGAATG